GCCGTTCCCGGGGGCCCCGCTCGGAGTTCCCGTCGGCCGCGCGCGCCCACCCCCGAGTGGCGTCGTCGGCTACACGCAAGAGTGACCCTGGGTAAGAGTGACCTTTGGTGCGCGGCTTTTTGGGGGCCGCGGGGAGACCAAACCTGGGCGCGGAAGCCCCTGCTACCGCTTCATTTTCAGCCATCTGGGGACCCATCTGTGCCCGCACCAAAGGTCACTCCGGCGAAAGGTCACTCTTACGTCTAGTCGACCCCCGTTGGCGTCGAGGCGCGACGCGCTGGGCCCGCGCTCGGGCGGGGCCCGGGCTGCCGTCGGGCTGCCTTCCGCGCTGCGGGGGCGCTGCCGCGGCGGGGGCGGCCTGGGCCTCTCGGCGAGGCCCCCGGCGAGAGTGCGGTCTGAGCCGCCGGGCCCGCGGGTCGCCGCCTCCCCGCCGAGTGCTGTGGCGGGGCAGGGGTTCCGTGGGCAGAGGCGCTGCCACCGGCGGCGGAGAGGGCGACCAGCCATCACTGGGGGAACTGTGGTCCTTACCCCCCGGGGGGGTAAGGACCACAGCTCCCCCACTTGTGGCTGGCCTGAGAAGGCCCGATTCCTTCGTGCGCCTGCTGGCTTGAAGCCGGCCACCTGGGGGTCCTGAAGGCTGCTGATGTTCCCCGACCTCGGGTAGCCAAGCAGAACGTCCTGGCTGTACCGGGCAGGATCACGACCCGTCTTGCCGGCCTGGGGGTCGTGGGCTTGCCGGTGCACGTCCCAGTCGTCGGGTCCGCTGGGGCCCCGTGAGGAGGGACGACGACGCTGGCGGTGAAGGTGGCTTACCAGCTGAGCCAGGGAGGCATGTCTGCCGTCCCTCAGGGAGTCCCGAGGGAGGGACGGCCTCGCCATCGATGGCTGCGAGAAGTTGCTGGCAGCAGAGCGCGAACCAAGCCCTGGGGTCGCCGGGCGCTCCTGATTTGACTCCTGACTTGAGGAGGGAGGATGCCCGATGTTTCGTCGACCTGGGGGGACAAGGAACGGGCGTAGGCGACCATGATGTGGGCGACCTTCTCATCCTCTTCCTCTCCCGTCCTCATCGTCCTCATCCTCATCGTCCTCATCGTCCTCATCCTCATCGTCCTCATCCTCATCATCCGCATCGTCATCATCCTCATCGTCATCATCCTCATCGTCCTCATCGTCCTCATCGCCATCGTCCTCATACTCATCGCATGCGCGTACTCGTCATTCTCATCCCCTTGGAAAACCACACACACACACACACACACGCACACACACGAACACACACACACACACACACACTGAAGCCCACCTGTTCGCGAGGCAGGAGAGCCGCCACTGCCTTTCCCCCCTGAGAGAGGCAGCGGATGAGAGGGCCACGACAGCAAGCCAACCGAGGACCTGGTAGAACGCAGTTTTTCAGTTGCGGCCATAGTGGGCGCTATGGGGGGGAGGGGGCGGGACGGGAAGGGGCATAATGTGGCCCCCCCTTCCCCCAGGCTGCGGTACCAGACGCGCTGCGGTTCTGCCGGAGACGCTCTGAGTGGGGGAGCGTTACGTTTTAGGGGGGGGAGGGGGGAGGGAGGGTAGAGGGCATAACGGGGCTACGGTGTCAGAGGGGGAGGGGGGAACAAAAACAACAACAACAACAACAACAACAACAACAACAACAACAACAACAACAACAACAACAACAACAACAACAACAACAACATCAACAACAACAACAACCACAACAACAACAACAACAACAACAACAACAACAACCACAACAACAACAACAACAACAGCAACAAAACCAACAACAACAACCACAACAACAACAACAATTAATAATAATAACAACAACAACAACAACAACAGCAACAACAGCAACAACAACAACAACAACAGTGACGACGACGACAACAACAACAACAATATCAACGACAACAGCAGCAGCAGCAACAACAAGAACAACAAGAACAACAACAACAACAACAACAACAACAACAACAACAACAACAACAACAACAATCACTTTACCCGAACGCTCAGTGTTCTCACCAGTGCCAAGGTTTTCATGCGACGCCAGCCAATACCCCCACTTTGTGGGGGGGCAGTGCAAGCTCTACCAAATATCCACACGACTCTTCGCCACCACCCACACCCAGCTTCCCGCCCTATGACGTTCGGACACTTCACTTCGTGGCCTGCGGACGACCGTGGCTACTACACTGGCGTGGAGTACACACCCACAGAAGTTGTTAAGCCTACGTTCGTACACCCACAGAAGTTGTTAAGCCTTGTTAACCCACAGAAGTTGTTAAGCCTTCCACAGAACATCTGTTGCATATGATGCATATGGTACATGATACACATGATACACATGAATACGGTGCTAAATTCTTAAGAAGCCCAATGGTTTTTGGAGATTTCGGCGTGCGCGCGCGAAGAAAAAACGAATGTGTCCCGCATGGTATTATTTGACAGGGATGATGGCCCTGGCAGGTGCGCAACCGTTGTCGCAGAAGTTCGAAAAAGTTGCTCGCAAAAGCCCGTTTGGCAGAAATGTTTAAAAAGTGTTGGGTTTCCTACGAATCCGCAAGAGCGCGCGGGATGAGATTTTGACAATTTTTTGTTGAAAAACCATTGGTTTTTTGATGTTTTTATGTTAAAATCGCTGCGAACACTAAGGTTTTGGAAGGATTTCGTCTTGCGCGCGCGAATGTCCACTTTACCTTATTTTTTGCAAGGGATTCTTGAAATTTGATTATATTAGAACAAGAAATGTCATTTTATAGTGTTTTTTTTGCAAGGGAAAACGGATTACAACAAAACAACCGGATCTGGATCACATCGTTTTACCTGAGGCTTCCTCACGAAAATGATGAAAATGTAGCTGCGGCCTAGGCGCGGCGGGGGGGGCGTGCACCAGGGGTCCCAACAATAATTATTCTTAAGAAGAAATAATGTTCAACAACAATAATTTGAAGACTGTTCGCCCTTATATGCTCGAGTGTCCAAGAACGCGTATTTCCCAAACCCTCGATACCCCTTTTGGGGGGTTTACCTTTCTTCCCTGCAGGCCGGGCCCCGGCAAGCGGCGGGGCGGCCGCGGACCGTCGGCCTGGCCAGCGGCAGCGCTGATCGGCGGGGCGGCCGCGGACCGTCGACCCGACCCCAAGAGGGACGGAAAGGGGACCGACCACGACGACGACGACGACGACGACGACGACGACGACGACGTCGAAGACGACGGCGACGACGACGACGACGGCGACGACGAGCGAAAGCGAAAGCGAGAGAGAACGACAGCAGGGCCACGAAGGGCACGAAGTAGGCCACGAAGGGCGACAGCGGGGACACGAAGGGAATGCGTATGGGGCCACGAAGAGCGCGAACGAGCGGGGCCACGAAGTGCAGATAATGCGGGGCCACAGAAGGCAACTATGGGGCCACTGACAACTGGGCCACGCAGGACAGAGAGGGGGACACAAAATGCGACGCGGGGCCACAAGGGCATGCCATGGAAGCCTCACGGGCGCGACTCTGGGTGCCTGGGTGCCTGGGGGTCGGGAGGCGCGGCGCTTGGGAAATTGCAAGAAATTCCAACGCAAGGCATTCTTCAGTAAGTTTGCAGCTAGTCCCAAGCTAGTGATGTGAGCGCGGTCGGGCATGTTGGGGAGAGCGGATTTCTGAATTAATTTGTAAGAAGTCTCAAGCCGAGAGCGCGTATCCTGAATAAAATGCGAAGGAAGTTCGGGCTTGGGAGCGGGGGTCATGGACTAAATTGTAAGGAAGTCTCAGGCGGGAGCCGTTGTTTTGTATGGGGCCAAGGGCACAGTTTGAGCAGAAGATTTTCACTGTCAAAAAACAGGGTGCGAGCGTCGAGTGGGTACACTGTTGAGTGAGAAAAAAGAAATCAGCATGCACCGGAAAAAGGGGATCACAATAACTTATTCACACAAACATTAATGAGAGTTCCAACAACAACAACAACAACAACAACAACACAACAACAACAACAACAACAACAACAATTACTAGCACGTGGGGACACTCCGTTCTCACCAGTGCCAGGGTTTTCATAGGAGGCGGGCAATACCCCCACTTTGTGGGGGGGCCGGTTCAAGCTCTACCAAATTTCCAAACGACTCTTCGCCACCACCCACACCCAGCTTCCCGCCCTATGACGTTCGGACACGTCACTTCGTGGCATGCGGACGACCGTGGCTACTATTCAGGGCCCGCGGCCGACGACGACGGCGTGCGCGCGCGAAGAAAAAACGAATGTGTCCCGCATGGTATTATTTGACAGGGATGATGGCCCTGGCAGGTGCGCAACCGTTGTTGCAGAAGTTCGAAAAAGTTGCTCGCAAAAGCCCGTTTGACAGAAATGTTTAAAAAGTGTTGGGTTTCCTACGAATCCGCAAGAGCGCGCGGGATGAGATTTTGACAATTTGTTGTTGAAAACCATTGGTTTTTTGATGTTTTTATGTTAAAATCGCTGCGAACACTAAGGTTTTGGAAGGATTTCGTCTTGCGCGCGCGAATGTCCACTTTACCTTATTTTTTGCAAGGGATTCTTGAAATTTGATTATATTAGAACAAGAAATGTCATTTTCTATTGTTTTTTGCAAGGGAAAGAGGATTACAACAAAACAACCGGATCCTGTACACACCCTCTTTTCTGAGGCTTCCTCACGAAAATGATGAAAATGTAGCTGCGGCCTAGGCGGCGCAGGGGGGGCGCGCACCAGGGGGCCCAACAATAATTATTCTTTAGAATAAATAATGTTCAACAACAACAACAACAACAACAACAACAACAACAACAACAACAGCAACAGCAACAGCAACAGCAACAACAACAACAACAACAACAACAACAACAACAACAACAACAACATAAAAATAAACTCGCAACGACGTCTGCAGGCCTCGTTCACCTCGACACAAGCACCCACACCAACCTCAGCATCCGCACGGGCAGCATCGGCATAGGCAGCGTTATGGGCGTTTGCCGCCTTCACGCCATGGATCCTGGAGTTGAAGTGGAGCTGGCAGATGTTGCACCTGCATGCCCACCGCTCGGCGGCGCGCCGAGAAGGAGAGGTGCGAGGTGGCAGGTTTTCTCGGGGGCGACGGGGCATCTCGAAGGCCTCGCGCCTTGCGGCTTTGGACAAGGCTTACCTAGTGAGCTTATCAGAAGGCCGGAGGTCTTCTGAGCCTTCTGAGAGGGCCCGCCTCCCCTGCTCCTTCCCCACGGGCGCGCAAGACCGAGCCTTCGCGCACGTGGCCTGGGGGGGCACCATGAGCCACCACGCTGACATACGGTTGCTGGACGCCGTGCCGCATGCACCAGGACACGTCAAGGCACCTACTGTCGGCGGCGAGCCCTGGAGAGACGGCGCAGTGGGCGCGCCTTCTCAGCAGGCCCCTTCCAAAGCCACCGAGGGTTTCTCAGAAGGCCGAGGGGCTTCTAAGAAGCAGCGCCGTCTTCGGCCAGGGCCTGCCCCCGCTCAATTCCTGTATTCGGCGCACCGACGACACTGGAGGAGCATTGCGAATGCCGTTTCCGATGTGTGCATCCGTTCCGTCGGCACATTAAACCCACGGTCGAAGGAGTAACGACGTCAGTGGCACAAACCATCACTTACGGAGACGCAACACGAAAGACGCAGCGATGAAGATCTGCCTAAACAGAAAACCCAATCCACCAGGGTATAGATTGCCAAGAGGCTTCTACAACCACCACTGGGACTACTACGACTACTACGACCACCACCACCACCACTACTCCTGATATTACGAAAACGACGCCGACGACGATAACTGCGACGACGACGATAACGACGACGAAGACGACGACGACAACGACAAAGACGACTCCTACTACTACTACTACTCCTACTACTACTACTACTACTACTACTACTACTACTACTACTACTACTACTACTACACTACTACTCTACTACTACCACCACCTCCACCTACTACCTACTACCTACTACCTACTACCTACTACCTACTACCTACTACCTACTACCTACTACCTACTACTACTACTACTACTACTACTACTACTACTACTACTGCTACTGCTACTGCTACTGCTGCTGCTCGTCCCCCTGATCTGTCGCTTCCCCTCAGCTGGCTACCCCTCAGGGGGATGGACCATCCTGGTTGCTGTTGGTCGGGCTGCCCTGATGTCACATCCGAGCTGAGACCAACATGGTACGCATGCCAACATGTCGTGCACCAGCGTCCCTGCAGTCAGTCCTGTTCATCGTTTTCCTGACCGGTGGCAATGGCTTCCCGCTTGTCCATCCTCCTCTTCGAAGATCCCTGGATCCGAAAGCGTAGGCGTAGTAGAAGATAAAGAAGTCTGGCAAACCAGTAACTACTAGAAGAAAACTCATATGGCTCGACTTCGAACGCCACAGCATCGAGAGCACGACTCGCCGAGCGTTCCGAGGGCGCCCTCGGGCCGCGCTGAGTCGATCGCAGAGGTGTGGTATGCCCTCCGCTCTTGCACTGAAATCCCGAGGATGTGGAAAAAGGGAAGGCATACAGTGGAAGCCTGGCCACAAGAAACCTTCCACAGGAAACCCAACCCTGAGACCCCAGGACGCCCATCAATGTTTGGTGTGGGAACGTCGCGTTTTCCATCGCAAAACCCTCGAAGCCCAAGAAACCCGGGGCACCCTGGAGGCAAGCAGCGTGTTCCTTGGCATGGGCCCCCACTGTACAGGCGAAGGAGCAGCAGCAGGGCAGAACGACGGAGGAGGGGGGTTGGAGACGGAGGGGGGGGAGGGAGAAGCATTAGGTCGTGCGTGTCCCCCTACAGGCGAATGTTGGACGATAAAATTAAAAATAGTCCAAATACCCCAAAATAGAGAATATATATATATATATATATAATGTAAACACAACAAAAAAACAAAACAAAACAAAAAAAACAACAAAAAACAACAACAAAAAAAAAAAAAAAAAAAAAAAAAAACGTTCCCAGATGCCTTGCTCAACTATGTTGGAATATCCCCCCTGCATAAGGACACGCCGGACTCGAGAGAAGCAGCGGGAGGCAGATGAGGGCGTCCGACGGCCCGCGGCTCCGCCGCCTCCTCCGCCGCCCCGTCCGCCGCTCCACCCCTCCTCCGCAAGCCGCTGCAGGGCTGGAGCGAAGCAGCGTTTTTGTCCCCTTCCCTTCTGGTGTCCGGAAGGAACAATCCGGAGGGGGAGGAGGAGGAGGAGGAGGAGGAGGAGGAGGAGGAGGAGGAGGAGGACGAGGCGGGGAGAGGGCAGAGGGAGGAGAGCGGAGGGGGCATGGAACAGGCAAGAGGGGGGAGGGGGGCAGGAGGGTGAGGGCAGGAGGCGGGGAGCGGCAGGAAGCGGGGAGAGGGCAGAGGGGGCCAGCGGGCGGGAGGCGGAGCAGGAGGGGGCAGGGGGCCAGAGGGGGGAGAGGGGGCGGACGGAGGAGAGGGAACAGAGGAGGGGAGGAGTGAGGGGGAGAGGAGGGGGAGGAGGAGGGGGAGGAGGAGGGGAGGAGGAGGGGGAGGAGGGGGGAGGAGGAGGGGGGAGGAGGAGGAGGAGGAGGAGGAGGAGGAGGAGGAAAGAGGGAGGGAGGAGAGGGAAGAGAGGGAGGGGGAGGGAAAGAGAGGGAGGGGGAGGGACAAGCTAGGTGCGCTCGCGTCATATCTGACATCCTACCCCTCCCTCCCATCCCCTACCATGGCGCAGATCCCCTCTCTACTCGCACAGTCAGATGTCGAGCAGGGCAATGATCCCGAAAGGGTACGCGATGCATTGTAGAGCACGGCATGGCATGGCGTAGAAGAGCACCGCAAAGCGTAGTATCAACCTAGCATTGCATTGCATGCCGTGGCATGGCACGGGAAATAACGCCAGCGCTGCAGCGTGAGCACGAGTCGAAACAAGCGGAAGCGCGGAAATGAGGCCAGCGCTGCAGCGGGAGCACGATTCGGAACGAGCGGAAGCACGGAAATGAGGCCAGCGCTGCAGCAGGAGCACGATTCGGAACGAGCGCGGCCCGAAAATGAGGCCGGCGCCTCAGCGAGAGTAGCATTTAAAAAAAAAATGCAGGCGAAAACCCAATTCCTGGGAAACCTGTGTAAAAAACAGTACGCGGGGGGGGTCGGTCGAGCACTTTCAAACCGTCAGCAGGGGAAGAGGGAGAGTAGCATTCAAATTGAGTAATTGTAAAGAGGGAGGAGAGGGAAGAGAGGGAGGGTGGATAGAGGAGGAGGAGGAGGCGGTGAAGCAGGAGGAGCACGGAGGAGGGGGGTCAGGAGGCGGACGAGAGGGGGAGAGCAGGGGAAGGAGGAGGTCAGCAGGATGCGCGGCGGAAGCCGCCATATCCCCGGGGCAGCGCGCACCTCTCCTTGGTGTTCCACATGGTGAGCTCCCTGCTCGAAGACGACGGCGCCTCGGCGGCATGCCGTGATACCAGACACGTGAACTGACGCACTCCTCACCATCATCACCGGCAACGGCAACACACATGTTGAGACTGCTCGCTCTGCCTTGCTCGTGGCCGTCAGCATGCACATCCCGAGCCCTCGACTCCCCCTTCGGCGGGGCCCCGACAGCGCACGGGTCGGGCCGGCGAACCTCGATGCGCGGGTCGGGCGGGCGGGACATGAAAGCCCGAGTCCTGGAGTAACCTTGGGGGGGTACCTGGCGAGAGCGCGACTCCGGCGTAATTTGTAAATAAGCCCTGGGCGAGAATGCAGTTCTTGTCTTGAGCGGCGAGAGCGATTCCTCGCTGAACTGCAAGGACGTGCCGAGCCAGAGCGCGATTCCTGAGCAGCGCGAGCGCGATTCCTGAATACGTTGTGAGATAGTCCCACGCGGGAGCGCCATTCTTGAGCAAATTGCGAGGAAGTTTTGAATACTTTGCGAAAGTTCATGTCAGAAGAAGCCGTTGTTGTCGCAGCCGAGGGGACCAGGATGCGGCTGGCCCTGATTAAAAAAAAGTGCGATCGTCAGGGGGGCTTCGACTGAAAAACGCCACGCGCACTGGTAGGGGGAGGGATTAGCAATAGTTTATATTCAGAGGTAAAACTTCAGTACCAATCACTAGTCAGAAGTGAGACTTGAATGATTTATCGCCATTCAGAAGCGAGACTTCAACAACTATCACCACCACCAGTCACCAACACATTCATCAGCATCATCACCAGCCTCATCATCCTCATAAACCTCGTCATCATCATCATCATCATCATCATCATCATCATCATCATCAACATCATTATCATCATCATCATCATCATCATCATCATCATCATCATCATCATCATTATCATCATCAGCATCATCATCATCATCGTCGTCATCGTCATCACCAATACCATGACCGTCGACATATTCATCATCGTCCTCGACATCCTCGTGATCATCCTCCTGCGCAGCATCATCACCACCACCAACACCGCCATTCTAACCATCAGAATCATCATACTCATCAGAATCATAATCGTCGTCATCATCATCATAATCATCATCATCGTCGTCAGCCTCAGTATCATCCTCCTTCTCCTCCTCCTACTCATCGTCAGCGTCATCATCACCACCGCCAACATCAGCAGAATCCTCAACATCGGCATACCCATCATCGTCAGCAGCATCATCAGCAGCATCATCATACTCAGCATCGCCATTATCAACGATATGATAATCGTCATCCTCATCAGCATCATCATCACCACCATCGTCATCAACATCGTCATCATCATCATCATCAGTAGCAGCAGCAGCACCATCATTATCACCATCACCATCATCAGCATCATCATTAGCAGCATAATCATCCTCTTCATAATCCTGGTCGTCGTCATCGTCCTCATCATCAGCATCGTCATCATCATCATCAGCAACATCAGCAACAGCAGCAACAGCAGCATAATTAGCATCATCACCATCATCATGGTCGGTATCGTCATTGTCACTGTCATCACCATCCTCACCAGCATCAGCATCAGCAGCAGCAGAAGCAGCAGCAGCATCATCAGCATCATCAGCATCCTTAGCATCAGCATGACCACCTTAAACATCGTGTTCCTCATCATAACCATCATCGCCACCATACATCTCCGTCATCCTCCTCGTCATTGCACTTCCCTCTTCTTGATGTATGTTGCTCCCATCGTACTTACCGGCCACATCCCAGAAATACTTTCGAGCTCTCGGAAAAGTGTCGAGAGAGTGTCGAAAGAGTGTCGAAACAATGCCTCCTGGGGCCCGACACGTGAAAAGCCTGGAGTTTTGGGGTGCGCTCGAAAGTCCTTCTGGTGAGCAAGGTTAAAGTAGGTTGGAACATTCTAATTCTTGATCAGAATCATCGTCCACCGTCCATGCTCTCGGGGTGCTTGATGCTCGCAACGGGGCGGGCCGGCCCCCATACGCAGTTCTGCCCCATCCACCACCGTGTCGCGAGGAGCGAGCTGTAGTGTCCTCAAGTCCTTAGAGTCCTCCGACCTCAGTCCTGAGAAATTGAATATTGAGGGGCACAGGCCCAAGATTCGCGGACTCTCTCGGGTACGCTGCGTGCTGTCGCGTGGTGTTTCTTAGGCGGGGGGGGCAAGACTGGACAAGAGGGCTCCACAAGGCTCCCGAGACGGCCCAAGAGGGCTCCGAGACGCCCAAGATGGCGCCAAGACGGCCCAAATGGGCCGCCAGAGGCCATCCAACAGGGCCCCAAGAGACAGAAATCGTAGATTCTCCGTCAGTGCTTGACAGACATTCGGGCTTCCGACGCTCCAAGACGGCCCCAGAGGCCCCCCAGATCACCCCAAGACAGCCCAAGAGGCCCCAAGAGGCACCCAAGAGGCACCCAAGAGGGGCCCAAGGGGGGCCCAGGAGGGGGAACTCGCACTGATAGTCCCAGCCCTTTGCCCCAACATGGCCACCGAAACCGCCAGCAGGCCCCCAAGAGGCCCCCGAGATGCCCCAAGAGGCCGAGGCCAAACGAACCCCCGAGGCCCCCAGGAGGGAGGCCTCCGGAAGGCCCGAAGGAGAGGCCTCCCGAGGCAGCAGGACGGCGCGGCAGACCGGCACAGGCCCCCAAGATATCTAGAATACCGCAGGTTGGCACTGCGGGCCAGCAGGGCAGACGCGCAGGGCAAGCCAGCGAGCGTCCAGCTCTCTGCGTTCCAGACGTCCGCCCCGCGAAGCGCGAGGAATCACCTGTCCGCGCCTCTTGGCTCACTTCGACGGAGCACTGAACAGCACTTCCCACAGTGCTTCATGCCACATGTACGTGCAGCTCTGATCTAACGTTCGGGAAGTGTGTGTCCAATGTTTGTCAGAGTGGCCTGCGAGGTGCGAAGGGCCCAAGGAACTCTCGCTCCGCTCGTCAGAGTCGGCCCGGGTCCAGCACCCCCCCCCTTCACCGCCAGATTTGGTAGGTTGTGCGTGCGGATTGTACATGCGAGTTGCGCATGCGGTCTGCGCATGCAGACGGGATACTTGGTTGGTCAGTTGCTTGCTGGCTGACTGGCTGTGTTGCCTGACGGCTGAATTACTGGTATGCTCACTTGCTTGCTGGCCGGCTTGCTGGCTTGAGTCCCTGCGTCCAGATAAAACACGCACCCATACCACTTGCTCACCTGCCCCGAAACATGCATATATCACACCACGTCCCTGTGGAGTCTACGCTGGCAGAGCTGATAACCAATGATTAACCGTACACAGCTCTTCAAGTGCTACATATGTTCGACAATCCCCTCCACAGAGTCATCGTGGTGTCATAAGGACTGCTGGGTAATGAACAGACAAGACTTCCTGGACACGGCGAACCTCGGTCACGAATACGTTCCCCGTCCTGATTCTGAGGGACGGCCCAAGAATAGGAGCGCCTCCTGAGCCCGAAGTGGACCTAATTTCAGAGCGTTGGTTAAGCTTTACCGGGAGATGTATATATAGACATACAGACATACATTGTTACATACATACTTACGTATGTACATAAATGCATACCTATATACACATACGTACATACATACATACATGCCTGCATGCATACATACATACATGCATGCATGCATGCATACAGACATACAGACAGACACCAAGACAGACAGACAGACGTACATACATACATGCATACATACATACATGCATACATGCATCCGTATATCCATACATACATACCTACCCATCTACCTACAACTATATATACACACAGACATACATGCATACGTACCTACATATATAGACATGCAAGCATGCATGCATGCATACGTACATGCATGCATGCATACGTACATGCATGCATGCATACGTACATACAAACATACGTACGGAAACACAAACGTCTAAGAATGCAAACTTACCGTCAAACAGACATGAATACGTACATATATGCATGCATACACATAGACATGTGTACACATACCTAAATGTATGCATACATACATGCATGCATTCATACGTGCATACGTGCGTACGTACATGCATGCATACATACACACGTGCATATGTACATACATACATGCATGCATACATACACGCATACAGACATACGTGTATACACATATGTGTATAAACATGTGCATATACATATATATATATATGTATATATACGTATACATATACAAACATATGAACACAAACATACACACATGCACGCATACACGCATATATCCATACAACAGACAGACAAACAGACATACCATTCGGAACAACAATAATAACAAAAACAACAACAACAACAACAACAAGCAAAAAAAAAACACTGGCTTTCTCCGCTGTCGCAACTTGTCCGCGTTCAGGCGTCGGATGACGCATAACTCGTCTCGGCTGGAAGGTAGCGTGAAAGAAAGGCGGCGATTTGGCGGATCGACTGCGCAGCCTCTGGGAGCTCTGGGTAGTACTCGTACACGTGCCATAGTCCCTCTGCCACTTGCAGATCGACAGTGGCGCCCTGCTTCCGGAGCTTCGCAGCGATTCGCACACTGTCGCTCAGGAGGGGGTCACGTGTGGCAGTAGAAATTACAGTTGGAGGGAAAGGGTCTGGAAACTCAGCAAAGAGCGGCGAGATACCTGGGAACGCAAGGCTCATGCCACCAGCATAGGCGAGGCTGGCTGGCTCGAGAAAATGCTTGATTGACAACGTTGGGTCCAGCCCCTCCCCAATGGCATGGCTGTCGCCGCTATGGGTCAGGTCGGCCCACGGCGACAGGAGCGCCACGGCCAGAGGGGGAGCAGCGCCAGCTGCGGCGGCACCCACCACAACTCCGAGCGCAAGATTCCCGCCCGCCGATTCGCCCACGATGATGATGCCACCGTCGCTCGTGGTGGACAGCTCCCGATACACGGTCATGGCATCATCTCGGGCCGCGGGAAAGGGGCTCTCAGGGGCCAGCCGGTACTGGGGCGCCACCACCCGGCGGCCCAGAAGCGCGGCCAGGCGGGCCGAGATCGTGAGCATCGTTCAACTGGCCCCCACCCCCACTGGCATGGCCTTGGCCCCGCTGGCCGACGTACCCCCCTAGGTAGGGACATGTGTTGCTCCCTTCAGGTCTCGCGGAGCCTGTCCCCACCTGGGGGGTGGGCTGGTGGGGCTGAAATGCCATGGCCCCCCTTGGGGATTGGGACTGGTCAAACGATACTGAGATCGACAAGTCCTCCGCGGGGCTTCCGCTAACAAATCCTCCACCAAACAAGTACAACACGCTCTCCGGCCCACGAACGCACGAGGGGCTCACCCAGAGGACTGGCACGCCCGCAACCTGCCCGTCCTCCACTCTCGAACCCAGCTCCCTCACAACCGCCGCGCAGCCGGGTGCCGCGTGCTGTGCCGTCTCCCGCCGCAGCAGGGCCAGGCCCTCCACGACGAGGTCCACAGCCTCCCACTCGGCCGCGCCAGACTCGGCCAAGAACCGGCGCGCGGCGGGGCTGACGGACGCACAGGGCGGGAAGCTGCGAGGGCCTGCGGCGGCGCTCCCCGTCGAGGCCGGTGCTGGCGGCGCGGTCCCCTCCAGCGCGGCCGCCGAAGCCCGCCCGCGGAGCGCCATGCGGCGGTGCGGCCGGCCGGCTCGAGCCAAGAGGGCCCCGGGGCAGCAGGCGGAGAAGCACGGCGAGCGGCTTCGACCGCCGAGCGCGTCCCCAGGAAGCAAGCCAGCTTGCAGGACGCGCAGCCTTCCCCTGAGCCAGCGACGCCACTGCCCAGGCGATAGGTTGTTGCGCCGCTCCTCTGGCAGCAGGCGGTGGGTGGCGGGGGGGGGGAACGGACTCCACGGCAGATTCAGGTCCTGGAGAGCGCCCCGTTGCAGGGATCACCCATCGCCCGCCAGATCGGAGCCTGATCGGAGCCCATATGGCGGCCTGCTCGGAAGCTCATCGGAGGGAGCCTTGTGGGAGCCAAACCACCCCAAGACACCCCAAAACCGCCTCCCAAGAGATCCACGCATGCATCTGAGAGGCCTCTGACCCACAACCCAGGAGCGGTGGCGAAAATGGGCCGACGACACCCAGACTGTGTTTGCCACAGGGGCGCCCTGCGTGCTGGATGCTTAGCTATCTTGAACTTTCAGAGGGTCCCAAATGGTCTCCAGCACAAACCACCCCAGACGGCAAAAAACTTCGGAAAGGGCTTTCACCTTCAAAATGGCTCCAAGGTGGCCAAGATTTCTCTTCCTCCTCCTCATCATCCTCCTCCTGCTCCTCCTCCTCCTCCTCCTCCTCCTCCTCCTCCTCCTCTTAGTAGTCTTATTAGTTTTCATGATAACATTAGTTTTAGTAGTATTCGTCATGTTTGTAAAAGTATTACTATGACTATGAGTGCAGTGTACGTATAAGTACTACTAGTATAGAGTCGTATGCTTAGTATCGTTACTACCAATCGCATTCGCATTACTAATGGTTAAAAGGGTATTATGTGTTAGTAATGTATGTGTTATTGTTGATGGTATTGATACTGCTACGAATAGCATTTAAACTAATACTAGTTGCATTATTCGTAGAAGGAGAAATCGAATTAGTGTTGGCTTCGTAATGGTTAGTATTACTCGTCGCCGTTGTATGATTATTATTTGTGTTATCGATTCCCAGCACTTGGAATATTGGTATTGGTATGAATAATAGTTGCGTATCCTCTCTAACATTAATGATGCTATCATGTTTCTTATTATTCGTCGTCCTGCTCCTCCTCCTCCTCCTCCTCCTCCTCCTCCTCCTCCTCCTCCTCCTCCTCCTTCCTCCTCCTCCTCCTTCCTTCCTCCTCCTCCTCCTCCTCCTCCTCCTCCTCCTCCTCCTCCTCCTCCTCCTCCTCCTCCTCCTCCTCCTCCTCCTCCTCCTCCTCCTCCTCCTCCTCCTCCTCCTCCTCCTCCTCCTCCTCCTCCTCCTCCTCCTCCTCCTCCTCCTCCTCCTCCTCCTCCTCATCTTCCTCCTCCTCCTCCTCCCTTTTCTGTTTTTCCTCCCCCCCTCTCCACTCCACGCCCTTCCCGAGGAGACAAACGGCGGCGGGGGGGCTGGGCCGCACCTCCGCGGAAGAGCACCCGACCAGGGCCAGCAGGGAGGTGCGGAACAGCATCTCCACCAGAGACACGGGGCCGCAGGCCTCCGCGCGGGCCACGACAAGCGCCCCCCACCCCGTCCTGTCCCAACTGTCTGCGCCCATTCCCTCCCCTCATACTTTTCCCCTCCGTTTCTGGCCGCGTGGCCTGGGCGGCACACGAACCCCAGGCGCCGCCGTTTCGCGCCTGTGTCCTTCCCTCTCTTGTTGTCCCATGTTGGCCCTTGAACTCCAATGTCCGCGGCCGCGGGCACAGCGCGGCGCAGAGCCCCCACGACGCGCGCCGGTCGCCCCGAAAGAGTCCCCAGCGACGCCCGCAAGCCCTGCGCAGAGCAGAGAGCTGGCTGGCTGACAGCGGGCAGAGCGCTGGCCACTGCGCAGACTTCCGACAAGCGGGCGAGACGCTGGGCTGAGCCGCAGCATGGAGCCCCCGCGACGCGCGCCCTCGTCCCGAAGGAGTTCCGGCAACGCGCGCAGGTCGCCCCAAGCGCGGCCACCGCATCAGCCCAACGTTCTGCCCCCGCAACGCCAGCGCGCCTCTCCGCCGACGCGAGCGAGCCGAGAACCGCAGTGGAAGAGCTCAAGATATGAAACCGAGGCCCACGTACTTCGCCACCCGATGGAGTATACTCTGATATCCTGACACTTGCGGCGGCCCGCCGCCACTGGGCTGAAGGAGAACAGGCGCAGCTGCGCAGCGGAGGCGGCGCGAAGATTGCACGAGCAGTGGATGGAGAAGTCACCCCAGATCTTCACGTTCACCGCGCACGTCACCAGGTCGAAACCGTCCTTGACGAGGCTCAACAAAATCACCGTCGGCGAAGCAGGGTCTGGCACCCGGGTGAGCACCGTGGTGGTGGGATGGGATGAATAAAACGCCCGAGCTCGCTCGGACATCCTGCCAGCAGCTGGCCCTGGTTGCCCCGAGCTTCTGGTCCCTTAGGGGGCTATACCTTCAAGCGCGCCTGTCTCAGTTGCCCCATTCGCCCCACCTGCCCCACTTGCCCAAGCACTCGCCCACTCGCCCAAGTGGGGCAAGTGGGGCAAGCGAGGCAAGCGGGCCAAGTGGGCAAGCGAGGCAAGCGGCGCAAGTGGGGCCAGTGCGCCGCACTCCAAATAGCGAGCGCAAGCTGCATGTGCAATGTATGAATGAGAGCTTTCGAAGGGCGAATGGGAATACGCCTTCATGAGAATTTCGAGGATGATCCAGCCGTGCCAGCGAGAGGACCCCTGAAAATGCGAGCGAGGGAGCAGCAGAACCTCGAAATCTCGCTCCTCGATCCACGCGTATCGGATGCAGTCCAAGTCTTTGAAAAGGGACCGACTGGCGACTGGCCCGACCTTGCCTGCCACCGCGCCGCAAAGCTCTTGTAGAACGTCATCCGGTTCTTCGGAATCCTCTATTATGTGATGCAGATCATATTCATTCAAGGACACCACGCCCGAGTTCGCGACCTCCGTACACTTCGCCGCCGCCAACTTCTTGTAATTCGTCGCAGGATTTGTCCAGCGCCCACGACACCCCAAGATGAGCGGCCACGGAACGTGTAAGGGGTGTGCCGAAACAATGGTGACGCCCACATGCGGACCTTGCCACTGGGGCCTTAGGTGGAGCTCCATATGGAGCCACGCCACGTGTGAGGGTGTGCCAAAACGGTGGTGAGCCCCCACATGCGGACCCTGCCACTGGGGCCTTCGGTGGAGCTCCCTGTGGAGCCACGCCACGTGTGAGGGGTGTGCCGAAAAGGTGGTGATCCCCCAAATGCGGACTCTGCCGCTGGAGCCTTAGGTGGGGCTCCCTCGGGGGGGCACGAACCGTGCGATGGATGTGACAAAACGATGGTGACGCGCACACGCGGGCCCTGCCCCTGGGGTGGAGCTCCCTGTGGGGCACGAAACGTGTGAGGGGTGTGCCGAAACAGCGGTGAGCCCCCACGTGCGGAGCCTGCCGCTGGGGCCTTCGGTGAAGCTCCCTGGAGGGCCACGAACCGTATGAGGGATGTGACAGAACGGAGGTGGCGCCCGCATGCGGACCCTGCCACTGCGGCCTCAAATTGAACTCCCTATGGGACCACGGAACGTGGGAACGGTGTGCCGAAACGGCTGTGACGCCCACGTGCGGACTCTGCCACTGGGGCCTTGCGTGGAGCTCCATGCCTGGCAAAGAAGCGCCTGAAGTGTGCGCCGAAATTGGTGGCCGAGAGCTGATGATGACGAGGATGATGAGGATGATGATGATGATGTTGATGATGACGCTGCTGCTGCTGCTGCTGCTGCTGAGGAGGAGGAGGAGGGTGAGGATGAGGAGGAGGAGGAGGATGACGATGAGGATGTTGATAATGATAATGATAATGATAATGATAATGATAATGATAATGATAATGATAATGATAATGATAATGATAATGATAATGAGAATGAGAATGATAATGATAATGATAATGATAATGAGAATGGTAGTGATAATGATAATGATAATGATAATGATAATGATAATGATAATAAAAATGATAATGATAATGATAATGATAATGATAATGATAATGATAATGATAATGATAATGATAATGATAATGATAATGATAATGATAATGATAATGATAATGATAATGATAATGATAATGATAATGATAATGATAATGATAATGATAATGATAATGATAATGATAATGATAATGATAATGATAATGATAATGATAATGATAATGATATATGATAATGATAATAATGATAATGATATAATGATCATGATAATGATAATGATAATGATAATGATAATGATAATGATAATGATAATGATAATGATAATGATAATGATAATAAGATAAGGATAAGGATAATGATAATGATAATGATAATGATAATGATAATGATAATGATAATGATAATGATAATGATAATGATAATGATAATGATAATGATAATGATAATGATAATGATAATGATAATGATAATGATAATGATAATGATAATGAGAATGAGAATGAGAATGAGAATGAGAATGAGAATGAGAATGAGAATGAGAATGAGAATGAGAATGAGAATGAGAATGAGAATGAGAATGAGAATGAGAATGAGAATGAGAATGAGAATGAGAATGAGAATGATAATGAGAATGAGAATGAGAATGATAATGATAATGATAATGATAATGATAATGAGAATGATAATGATAATGACAATGATAATGGTGATGATAATGATAATGATAATGATGATGATGATGATGATGGTGATGATGATGATGATGGTGATGATGATGATGATGATCAAGATGATGATGGTGGTGGTGGTGATGGAAAGGATGAGAATGATAATGCTCATAGCGTTGAAGATGACGATGACGGAGATGTTGATGCGAATGACCACGATGTCGATACTAACGATCAGAATGATGATTATGATGATGATGATGGTGGTGATGATGATGATGGTGGTGGTGATGATGTTGAAAATGATGATGTTGATGCTGATGCTGCTGCTGCTGCTGGTGCTGCCAGATGATGGTGGTGATGATGATGATTACGATGGTGATGATGATTATGATGATGGTGATGATGATGATGATGATGGTGGTGGTGATGATGATGATGGTGATGGACGGTCATGCTGATGCTGATGATGGTGTGGACGATGATGGTGATGATGATGATGGTGATGATGGTGGTGATGATGCTCATAAAGATGCTGATGATGATGAGGATGAAGACATGGATTGGAGGAGGGAGGGCGCAGGGGGCAGCGCTGTCTCTTCAAAAAGATGGCCCAACTTCTCAGGATGTATGGAAAAACAGGTCGATGTCTGTCAAGTTCCTCGTCCTCGCCCTCGCCCTCGTCCTCCTCCTCCTCGCGTTCCCAGCTCCACAATCATTCCCCCATCCTCACCGCAGCCGCCGCGGCCGTCGCCCGCGCCGTCGCGGAAGAGGAAAAGAGGGGAGGGAGAGGTGTGGAGAAGAAGGGGAGGAAGGGAGGGGAAGACGGAGGAGGGAGGGTGAGACGGAGGAGGAGAGAGGACGCGTGGGTGGCTGGGGGAGGAATCTGGCTAAGCGTCCAGAGAAAGACTCCACCAAATCGCAACTCATGAGGAGCAGGTCGGACAAAGCACTATTGAAGGGAGTGCGCCAATTCGACCACGGCAAACATCGCTCGGAGTCAAGAGCCACAAGGTGAGGTCGTTAAAGCGTCCGAGTCGCCTCCTCATGCAGCAAGGTGAAGTTCTCCGTGCTGAAGATCTTGAAGCCAGACCATGTCCCCACAGCGAGGCAGGTCTGGTCCTGTTCGCCAATCAAGGAAGCGCAAGGGGGCTCACAGGACTGATCCGCGTGCAGCAAGCACCTGTATGTGACGCTTTTTCAGCACCTCCCGATAGACAGTTGCCTTTACACCCAGGCCAACTGCTACCACACCCCAGCTACCTGGCTTGAGTAAAACTTCAAGCGCCATCGCGATCAACCACGGTCAACCCACCATGCCTGCATTTGAATTCCACCACCGCCACCCGTGCCTGCTGATGCTAACCCCCCGCACCGACTGCTGCCAGCCCCCCGCGCAGTACGGGACAGCGACTACCACCGACTGCCCCTCCTCCTTCTCCTCATCCGACGTCTCCTCCTCATCCTCCTGCTCCTCCTCCAGATGGTCTCGCGCAGTCCCTTCACACTGCACACACGGTCTCACGTCTCCCTTTCTTCCCCCCTCTCTCTTTATCTCTCTCTCTCTCTCTCTCTCTCTCTATATATATATATATATATACTCTCTCTGTCTCTCTCTTTCGCTTTCTCTCTCTCTCTCTCTTTCTCTCTCTCTCTCTCTCTCTCTCTCTCTCTCTCTCTCTCTCTCCCTCTCTCGCTCTTTCTGTCTCTCCCCCCCTGCTCCTCCCCGCCCTCCCTCCGTCTGCCCCACCCACCCTCCCTCCCTGCCCCCCCTCTCCCCCCCAAAAAACCTCCCAGAGCCCGCGGGGGAGCCCGACGTCCCCCCCCCCCCCGGGACTCCCCGGAGCCTCCCAGGCCCCAGAGAGCCTGCCCGCCTCGAGCCCAGCCTGGGGC